ACCGGGTAGAAATAGTGAAAGCGGGTATACGTAACAGGTAGTATTGAACGACGAATGAAAGGAAGAAGAAAAGCTTTCATGCACGACGGATTTTTCCGGGATTAGCTGGATCTACTCGTATTATTCGTCGTATAACTATCCAGTAGACTGCTTCCGCGATAATAGCTTCGACGTTAACTGTTTCTTCGTTTTTTTTCCCCTCTAAACAAACACAACTCGATGAATAGAAATGATCTCTACATTAAAAATTAACGAGGATGAAATGAAAATAGATTTTGTGATTTAAAGAAATTCATTCGTGAACTTTAACGATTCAAATATCATTCAAATTTGATCGGTATACGAGAATATATAAGTGGAAATATAATGAAAATATAATAAAAGAAAAATACGAAGAGAGCGAAATTTCATTTGCTATTGAACGATCGTGCGATTGGAGAAAAGTTTCGAATAATATTAATCCATTTTATCTTTTCATCATAATTATTTTCTCTGCATAAACGAAAAAAGAAACGTCGAATTTAACCCATCCGCAGAATGAAGACAAATTTTCATACCGTAAAAAGATCAATTCGCACATTTTATATTACATGAATATTTATCGAGAAAAATTTGTTTCAATAATTAAAAAGTTCATATCGAAATCAGTTATAATATTTTCTATTTTTCTTTACACCATAACTCTCTTTTCATGTAACTTGAGCATTCAAACCAATAACTTTGCAATAGAACGAAGGAATCTTATAACTCGTGTATTTTCAAGAAAATTGTGTTTCAATTGCAATTAATTTCTTAAGAAAGATTTCAGGGCATATGTGTGGAATTAAACCGGAAAAATTGCGATGATGAATTGCAAATCATGAACGCTTTCTCATTGATTTCTCAATTGAATTTAACAAAAACCAACTTCCTTTTTCTCGAATCAAACGGTTCGACGCATTTATTCGAAGACATCGAATGCATCGATAGTCTCTAATCTTGAACTGCAAAAATCAGATGATTGAAAATTGTACAACAAATACTAAAATTTTTACATTTTAATATCTGGATGGAAGATATATTTCGTAAAAAGCCAACAAAACGTCACATCGTTCGATATTTTTGGTCAAGCCAGGTTGAGCAATAGATTCGACGACGATAAACTGGCTTCGGAAGGAGGACTAGTTTCGTGGACGTGTTTCCTCCTGAACTGGATTTCGACAAATTTATGAGACAGCGGAGAGATTTGCGGAGGTTTGATTGAACATACGCGACGAAATTAATTTATGCATGTCGCACCTGTTCGTCCACGAAAAAATCGGTGATGAACGAGCATAAGATTGGATGACGAAACAGTTGTCGAGCAAGTACAATAGATTGTCAATTTGATGCGATTCATCTTTTCAATAGCTGATAAATTATTACGAATCTTCTATAATTTCAAACAATTTCAA